TGAGTGGAAATTACACACAAAAAAGGGGTTCAGGAGAGACCCTAGTACCCTAGTACTAATTTCTGGACTCCACCTCTCCGTTCCCTTCACCTTACCTCCCAGTTTTCTGGTCTGGCAGCAGAAGCTCTGGATGGATGCGTCCTATCGGGTCGCCATTTTCCGCCGAGAGTCCTCAGCATTTTTGTAAATTATTCTGAAAACATTAAGCTGGGCCTTTTCTGTTCCTCAAGCTTTCCTGCATCGAAGTCACAGAAGTGTTAGGGAATCCGAGTCACTTCCTCATCAGTGCTTTGCATGTTTCAGTATATCTCAGGAGGCAGCATCTTCCCAATTCCAGACGATGTGCCAGCATTTAAGGCTATAGGAACAAAAAATGCAGCTTCCCACTTTGAAGGAATTGACCTACAGCTTCCTGTCTGTCCAACCCTTTTACCCATTAGTCTTTGCTCATGTCTCTGGAGTGCATCTCTGACTGTGCCTCATTGCCCAGTATTTTTATTTATTTATTTATTAAGAAATCATTTTATTGGGGGCTCTTACAGCTCTGATAACAATCCATACATCAATTGTATCAATTGCCATCTTCATTTTCAATACATTTTCTTTTTGCTTGAGTCCTTGTTATCAGCTCCTCTTTTTCCCTCAACCAGCCTCCCACATACATGGTTTCCCTGATAAATTATTATTATTTTCTTTTCTTACACCATCCACTGTGTCCCTTCACCCATGTTTCTGTTGTTCGTCCCCCAGGGTGTGTGTGTGTGTGTGTGTGAGTGATACGTTGATCATTAAAGTCAGTTCCCCATTTCTCCCCCTTCTCCCTTCACCCTCATGGTATCACTACTCCCATTACTGTTCTGTGGAGTTTATCTGTCCTGGATTCCCTGTGTCGAGAACTGTTATCTGTACCAGTGTACATGCTCCAGTCTAGCTGGATTTGTAAGGTAGAACTAGGATCATGATAATGGGGGTGGGGAAGCATTAAAGAACTAGAGCAGCGGTTCTCAACCTGTGGGTCATTACCCCTTTGGGGGTCAAACTACCCTTTCACAGAGGTCACCTAAGACCATCAGAGAACACATAAATATTTCACAGTATATAATTACATATTATTTTGTGATTAATCGCTATGCTTTAATTATGTTCCATTTGCAACAATGAAAATACGTACTGCATATCAGATGTTTACATTACGATTCATAACAGTAGCAAAATTACAGTTATGAGTAGCAACAAAAGCAATGTTAAGGTTGGGGTCACCACAGCTTGAGGAACTGTCGCGGCAATGGGAAGGGTCGCGGCAGTGGGAAGGTTGAGAACCACGGGACTACAGGAATATTGTGTGTTCCGTTGGTGCCATGCTGCTTGGCTGTCTTGTTCTTTCCTTGTGACCCTTCTGTGAGGGAATGTCCAGTGCCTACAGATGGGCTTTGGGTCTCCACTCCACGCCACCCCCTCGTTCGTATCGATATGATTGTTTGTTCTCATGCTTAATACTGGATCCTATTGACACTTCATGATCACACAGGTTGGTGTACTTCTTTGATGTGGTCTTTGTTGCTTCCCTGCTAGATAGTCGCTTGTTTAACTTCAAGCCTTTAAGACCCCAGACACTATCTTTTAATAGCCAGGGACCATCATCAGCTTCACCACATTTGCTTATGCACCCATTTTGACTTCAAGGATCGTTCCAGGAAGGTTTCTATATTTATACCTCTAGAAATGTCTTTTGTCTCCTAGTTCTTCCTCTATTTCTTTTTATTCTCCTGTCCCATTTTCATGTTCAACCTGTATTCAACTCTCAATACTTTCTCTCAAGTGTTGCACTTGATCAAACCCCATCAGTCATTCTATGCCCTCCTTGTTATCTATTTTAGATCCCTTATTGTTCCCTTGTCCCTGGGTTTGTTGACTCCCCCTTCCCTTTCTCCCACCTTCTCCTCTCCCATGCCCCCTGGAGCTGGCAGCCCTTTTGTTTTCTCCTCAAGATTTGTTATCCTGCCTATCCTATATGGATAGATGTGAAAAGACGGGAGGGGGTGGTGGTATAAATAGTTCCAGGTCTGTCTGCTGACCCTTCTGAAAGTTTTCCAATCAGATCTGGTGAAATGCCACGTCCTGCCCACCGATTCCACGGTCTATTTTCAGAGCTTTTCAGGTACTTCACAGTTTTGCTCCCCTTGCTGCTCTGTTGTGCTTTCTTCATGTTTTGCTTGTGTGTGTGTGTGTGTGTGTGTGTGAGAGAGAGAGAGAGAGAGAGAGAGAGAGAGAGAGAGAGAGAGAGAGAGAGAGAGAGAGAGAGAGTCAGAGTCAGACCAGGTGCACTTCCCACAGCTTGTCCAGTGTTGTCCCCTGTAGTCTTGTGGGTCAGTGAGGGGCTGCCATGTCTGTGGTGTCTTGCCCCAGTCATTTTACAATCACTTGTTCTTTATATCTCTTTTATCCACTTAGTGCCCCCATTTCCACCCCTAATTAAAGTAAGTGACCCAACTCACTAGTCCTTTTTTGTTATATGTAGAAAAACTACATTATCTTTTAACTCCTCCTTTCCATGAACTTTTGGAAGGCCTTTGTAGTATTAGGTTCTAGAATCTTCTGAATTTGTTAACCTGTCGATCAGCCCATATCCCTTGTTACAATTCATTGTTTAAAGTAAAACCCTTTGGATCTGTGGAAGTTCCATGTACTGTATACAGTCTGTTTGCTTTTATGGGTTGACATATGCTTCATTCCCCACCATCGTAGATGGAAGATGGGTTGGGTAAAAATTGCATGCACTTTTAAAATATAAGATCCTTTTGAAGGAGAGGTCCATAGTGTGATATACTCCACACATGGAAAATAGCTGACTACTGCAAAGCAATAAGGATTTGAGCTCAAATCTCCAAACGTTCTACATCTCTTACATTTCTAGAATTCCATAAAAACCAAGCCAGGTAGCTTTTGAGTGCTGTGCATTTATGACATGCCGATTGAGCAAGAACAAAAGGGGCGTATATGCAAATGTGGTGAAGGCACTTGTAAAGGGAAGTCACTGAGGCCTTTAGCTGGATAAGGACAAGGGTGAGGGTGAGGGGTGCAAACCCTTGTGTGAATGTGGCAGGGTGGGAGTGAGCTTGGCTCACAAGACCTTCCGGGAGGTGGACTGAACAGTGGCTGCAGCAATGAGCTCCAGGTGGCTGTGAAGACAGCACAGCATCAGGCAGTGCTTTCTTCTTTGTACAGAGGGGCCCGGGGCCCTGGGAGCCCATACTTACTTGACAAGAGCTAACAACATAGTTTTAAATTGTGGGTCTCTCACCACGAGTCTGACCCATTAGTATAATGCCAGACAAAATGCTCTTGACATGTTGTGTGTCCCTTGGAGGTATTGTGGACAGTTGGCCCACGGAGACTTTTTGTCTTTCAGCATCCAGTGCTGGATGAACCGATAGCTGAAGCCATCTGTATTGTCGCAGACACGGATAAGTGGAGCGTCCAGGTAGCCACAAGTCAGAGGAAGATGATGGATAGTGTGAAACTGGGCCAAGATGCCTTGGTCTCCAGCCAGGTGTCCAGTTTACTTCAATCAATTTTGCAGCTTTACAAGCTTCACCTCCCTGCAGATTTTGTAAGTATTTGTTCTCATGTCGTCGAAGACATAGTTTACAAAAGCATTTCTGGCAGCCTCTGCCTTACTGGTTAATATCTAGGCTTTAGAGTTCAATCGCCTGGCATCAGTTCAAGTTCTTATTCAACTTCATGAAGTCTCAAATACGGGTTTTAAAGCTGGTGAAAAAATCCAACCTATGGCTATAAAAATGAAATTGGATATCTCATCTAAAGTGCTTGAAATCATCATAAGCACTCAGGTATGGGTATTATAGTTTCAAGAAGCAGTTCTAAATGTATGCAAAGCGTGACAGAATCTTTTCACTGAGTTTTTATTTGGGCTTTAAACTGAGGCATACTCTTGTAGAATATCTGTTATGGTTTATATAATGTGATATAAGTGTTTATGGATTATTAGAATTTACTTTCTGCATATATAGGTAGCTTTTCTATCTAGAAGCAGGTTGAGTTAGACTTGCTTGCAGACTGATATCTTCTTTTCTGTAAAGAAGAAAAGTATATTAAGTTTCATAGTGCTTTACTGTTAACAAGGTCACAATTTTTTTTTGTGAGTGAGTGAGAGACATAGTCAGTAAGAGAATGAGACAGTGAGAGTGAGACAGTGAAAGAGTGAGGCAGTGAGAGAGTGTGTGTGTGGCAGTGAGTGAGTGAGAGGCAGAGAGAGTGAGTGAGTGAGGCAATGAGTGAGTGAGGCAGTGAGAGAGAGTCACTGACTGAGGCAGTGAGACAGTGAGAGGGTGAGTGTGAGTCACTGAGTGAGGCAGTGAGAGAATGTGTGTGCACCAGTGAGTGAGTGAGAGTGAGGCAGTGAGTGAGTCACTGAATGAGACAGTGAGTGAGTGACAGTGAGAGAGTAAGAGTGAGACAGTGAGACTGAGTGATTGAGACAGTGAGAGTGAATGAGGCAGTGAGTGAGAGAGTGAGACAGTGAGAGAGTGTGTGTGAGTGAGACATGGCGTGAATGAGACATGAGTAAGACAGTGAGTCAGTGAGAGAGTGAGAGTGAGTCACTGTGAGGCAGTGAGAGGTAGTGAGTGAGAGAGTGTGACAGTGAATGAGTGAGTCACTGAGTGAGGCAGTGAGAGAATGTGTGTGCAGCAGTGAGAGAGCGAGTCACTGAGAGAGGCAGTGAAAGAGTGAGTGTGTGAGAGAGAGGCAATGAGTGAGTGTGAGTGAGTGAGACATGGCGTGAATGAGACAGTGAGTGAGGCAGTGAGAGGGTGTGTGTGAGGCAGTGAGTGTGTGAGCCAGTGAGTGAGTGAGACAGAGAGTGAGAGTGAGTCACTGAGTGAGGCAGTGAGAGAATGAGACAGTGAAAGAGTGAGAGAGAGCCAGTGAATGAGTGTGAGTGAGAGTGAGGCAGTGAGAGAGTGAGACAGTGAAAGTGTGAGTGAGGGGCAGTGGGTGAGTGAGTGTGTGAGACAGTGAGTGAGCCAGGCAGTGAGAGAGTGATACTGTCTCACACACTCAGTGACACACTGAGAGTGAGGTAGTGAGTGAGTGATAGAGAGTGAGACAGTGAGTAAGTGAATGTGTGAGTGCAGCAGTGAGTGAGGCAGTGAGACAGTGAGAGAATGTGTGTGCAGCAGTGAGTGATAGTTTGTCACTGAGTGAGTGAGAGACAGAGAGTGAGAGTGAGTGAGTGAGTGAGGCAGCGAGAGAATGTGTGTGCAGCAGTGAGTGAGACAGTGAAAGAGTGAGAGAGTGAGTGAGTAAGGCAGTGAGAGAGTGACTCACTGAGTGAGACAGTGAGGCAGTGAGAGTGAGTCACTGAGTGAGGCAGTGAGAGAGTGAGAATGAGACAGTGAGTGAATGAGGCAGTGAGAGTGAGGCAGTTAGTCACTGTGTGCGGCAGTGAGTGAGTGTAAGTGAGAGACATGGCGTGAGTGAGACAGTGAATGACTGAGGCAGTGAGAGCGTCAAGGTCACAAATTTTTATATATGCTAGACAGTCAATAAGGCAGACCAAAGAACACTTTATAAATGGATGGCTCTTACTACAATATGACATCTTAGCTGTCCAAGAAATAGATCGAAAAAGGTAATCATCTAATCGTATGAATGACTTAAGAATAACTTCAGCCCGCAGCCCTGCTGGCTGACCTGCCAATTTGGGGTTAATCAGCCCGTGCAACCTTGTGAGTTAGGAGAAGCTTCCAGCCTGACAACTGACCCCCAAATCTTGGAGCTTCCAGCATCCACCGACACCATCACTACCTGTCAGTTATCATCCCGATGATGCCGGAAGCTGTGGCAACAAGAGTTATGGTGGACAAGTTTCAGCAGAGCTTTCAGACTAAAATTAGGAAGAAGGATCGGACAGTCCACATCTGAAAACTGCTGCCATTGTGAAGAAAGCTGATGGTGCCTGGCAATTACAAGATAGAGCGTCTGGGGTCTTAAAGGCTTGAAGGTAAACAAACGGCCATCTATCTGGGAAGCAACAAAGCCCACATGGAAGGAGCACACCAACCTGTGTGACCATGAAGTGTCAATAGGATCGGGTATCAGGCATCAGAAGACCCAAAACAATCATTGATGTGAACGAGGCAGGCCAGAGTGGAGTCCCAAAGCCCATCTGTAGACCATTGGACCGTCCCTCACAGAAGGGTCACAAGGAAGGGACGAACCAGTCAGGGTGCAGTATAGCACTAACGAAACATACATTATTTTAATGCTTCCTCTCCCCCACTGTCAGGACCCCAGTTCTACCTCACGAATCCAGGACAGATAAACCCCTCATGAGTAGCAATACCGTGAGGGTAGGGAGAATCAATCGCATTGATCAATGTATAACACCCCCCCCCCACCATGGTGACGACCAACAGAAACATGGGTGAAGGGCGATAGAGCGTGGTGTCAGACATGAAAATAGTAGTGATTTAGGAGGGTGGAGGAAGGGGAAAAGGAGCTGATAGCAAGGGTTCAAGTAGCAAGAAAATATTTAAAAAGGATGGTGGCAACCTATGTACAAATATGCTTGATAAACGGATATATGGCTTGTTAGAAGTGCTGTAAGAGCCCCCACTAAAATGATGTGAAAATACAAAATTTTTTTAAATGTACCACTGAAAATTTTGAGTGCCAATGGGACATCGCTCTTCCTTCAGAAGAGCCCTGGTGATCAAGGTTCCAACGGCTAACTGGGGCTTGGCAGTTGATCCCCACCAAGAACTCTGGAGGAGAACCCAGGCAGTCCGCCTCCCACAGGCTCACAGCTGGGGGCCCTGCGAAGCACGAGCATTCTGTTCTTGGCCTTCACTGGAGTTGGAAATAGGTGTGTTTGATTTGCGGGGGTTTGGAGTATAGCTTTCAGAACAGAAGGAGAAACGAGTTAATTTTTCTTTGTAAGAAGAATCAAACTCTGAAAACAACTTTAACATCTTGGGAGTTAAAAATTGAAGTACTCCTCAGGAATAAAATACCAGAAAATGTGTGGGAAATGGGACCCAATATATAAGCCTATTTAACACTGAATGCTACCTTTACATAAAATATCCGAATTATTTTATTTCAAGATTAGTATGGGTTCCCTCTAGACCACTCTTGTCTGTATCTCCTGCCACACTGCTACGTAGTCTTGGGGACTAGAAACACCTCACAGGACTATTTTGAAACTTAAAGCATCAATGTAATATGTAAGTTCTTTTTAATATTTTATCATATTCCTATTAAAGCTGAGTTGGCAGTGGGTTTGGGTTGGTTGTTTATTAAAAGCTTTGTATTTCATAGCGTAAAGAACCAAAACTTGGGAGAAATTATCCATGAGCATTGGTGCAGTCTTCCTCGCTCCTTCCAGATTGTACTCCATCCCCCATTCAACATGATGCTTTTAGGGTTTTGAGCCAATGAGAGACTAAAAAGATCTCATCTCTAATGGATACTTTCAAGTGCATCTGTTAATCTTTTACCTTGAAAATAGCAGGCGTAATGGTCTAGGAGAAACCTGTGTCTGATGGAATTATCCTTGCGCGGGCCGTCGGGTGTCTTACTCAAGGTGTTGGATGCCTCTGCCAGCCAAATGCAAAAGCCTTTGCCTCTGGTGAAAGAGACAGATGGTTGCTATCTCTAAAAATGAGGTTGGACATCATTTCATGGGTAGAGATGTCCTGAAATAATTGCTTTTTCTTTATTAAGGCCTAGTTAAAAGGCACCCTTGAAGAGGGGGTGGGGAGTCTTGAAATTACCTTATTCCAGACAGTCTACTTCTGGGAATGTTTTACAACACAATGATCTGAGATAGAGGGGAAACAGTACAATGCTCATCTTTACAAAATTGTTTCTCATAGCAAAAATGCAGATTGCTGTGTGGTTAAGTGAACCAATGTTTTCACATTCTCCGAAGTTACCCCTACAAATCGTACTGACAGGGACTTTTTCATAAAAACTGAAGATTGTTGTAAAGTACTTCAAAAGCAGGAAAGAATTGTGCTTATAGAATAATCTCCGCTGAGTAACAAATGATTCTTTATAAAGCCCAAGAGAGATGTGCAAACATTGTCCTAGTGGTCAGAAAACATGCACTCTATTGCTTTACGAAGCCATGCTTTCATACCTGCTAGTGTTAGGGTTTGAGGTGACTTATAAATCTTAAGGGTTTTGAGAGTCATTGGGTAAGACGATAGCTGTGTACTTAGAAATGAATTCAGAGAGTTGTAGCTCTGAAAATCCTGCAGCGCTGTGAGTGGTCGCCCTCATTGCGAATGTTCTTGGCTCCGCAGTGCGTCATGCATCTGGAAGACCGCCTCCAGGAGCTGTATCTGAAGAGTAAAATGCTCTCTGAGTACCTTCGAGGCCACACTCGCGTGCATGTGAAAGAGCTGGGTGTTGTGCTGGGGTGAGTTCTGCGCAGTGCTGCAACCCGGCCCCACCCGGCCCGTGGGACCCTCACCTCACAGGGCTTAGTGACTCCCTGGAAGGGGTAGAGGCCTGATTCGGGGAGGGGCTCTGCAGCCGCCTGTGTCCACTGTCTCCCTGGAACGTCCGCAAGCTAAAGGCGGTCGCCATCAGAGTGCCTGACTGCCTCGAGGTGGGTCCACCGGGTCGGAGCAGAGCATCGCTCCATGCGGTTTGCAGTGGCTGCTGTTTCAGAAGCAGGTCTCCAGGCCTTTTTCCTGAGGCACCTCCGGAGGGACTTTATAACCGCCAAGCTTTTGACCAGAAGCTTGAGTGCCTGACTGATTGACCACTCAGGGGTTCCTGTTTTTTAGGCTAATAAGAAGGAAATCATTTCATTGAGCTAGCATCGTCACCGTCAGAAGCAGCTCAGGGTGGTGTTTGGTTACCCTCCTAGGGTTAGGAGGCAGCAGCCCTCCCTGCTCCTGGACCTCAGGGGCCTGGGTCTCAGTGAGATGCTGTACTTTCTTCCCTTTATTTAGCAGTCTACCAGAACAGCACACTTTTCTTTGTGTGTCATCTTCCATAACCTTCCTGGGGGGGGAAAAACTCCTGAGTTTTTCTTTACTATCTGTCTGCATCTGTTTCGACAGAGAACAAAAAGATTATTGGATGATGATGATCCCCTTAGTATTTTACATATAATGTTTTAATTTTAAGTTCTGCATCAAACAAGAGCTTCCATCTTTTACACCCAGGATAGCACTCACTTTTTGCCTCATTGTACTTCCTGCCTTACTTGGTTTTAGATACCAGGGTGCTTCAGAAAGTTTGCAGGAAAATATCATCATCTAATTCCATTTCACCACGATGTTTTTGAAGCATCCTCGTTCTTTGTTTGAAAAATATTTCCCCTTCTGTGGCACTTGTCGTTACAATGAACTTTTAACATGTTTTCTGCCCTGAGTTTTTGTTAGTCTTGTTTCGGTCACATACTTTACCTAATCCTGCCTCACGAGGTCTCCCAATGTGTGCACCTTATATTTACACATTTCCTTAGTCCCGCCCCAACAAGTGTGCATCACCAATACAACTAGAGGGGTCATACGGATTGATGGGGGATTTATTTACCCTGAGCCCTCCCCTCTAACTTCATGGAAATGGCATCCATCTCTTCTTCCTCCCTTCCCCGTCATCAGGCCCTGCACCTGTGAGGTTCTGGTGACTCTGAAATCAGAACGGGAGGTGGCATTACTGGACAAAGAATATACAACCCCATGCAGGCGTGCCAGTGACCTCCTTTTATTGTTAAGATCTGAAGCCCCAGGGAAGGAAGTAGGATCAACTCCACAGACTGAGGCTAGCCTAACTTTTCCCCATTTGGCAGCATTTACCCAGCAGCTGTACCGTGTTGGCCTTTACTCAAAGAGAGGCTAAGGAAACCACGGCCATCTGAAGCATGATGCTTCAGAGCACTGTGGCGCAGCTGCCTGGGGAAGATCTAAGGTGTGTGCGTGCCCCGGACTCTGAAGAAGTGGCTGCCAGCATCGTTTCTGAGACTACTTTGAGCCTAGGTCCAAACCCAGCCTGCACTCACAGTGTTCACTTGAGGAGGATGCCTTGTGGAGAAAGCAGCAAAGCGCACTCTAATGACCTTGGACAGGAGATACAGGTTTAAAGTTGGGCAACCAAAACCAATGAAAGAAGATGCCCAAGTCCATGTGCATGCCCATGGGCTCTGCAGGCGCGTGTTCACATGGGTGCAACACAGCACCCTGCACTTCTCTGTGCCTCCTTGGGCAGCATCCACTGGAAGATTTTACTTTTGAAAATAGTTTATCGTATTTACCTGTTTTCATCAGTTTGAAGCAATCATTTAGTAGCCTAGCTTGGCACCTAAATATAATAAATAGTTCCTTTTAAAGCCCTGCCACTAGAAAGTAATAATTCTTCTCTTATTTCAATACCCAGGATCGAATCTAACGACCTGCCTCTGTTGACTGCTATTGCCACTACACATTCTCCGTATGTGGCTCAAATACTCTTATAGCACCCAGGACAGCTCTTCCTTGAAGAAGGACCATCAGACTGCCAACGGAAGGAGTAAGAACTAAGCTTTCGGTGCTGTCAAGCGCAGACGAGCAAGCAGAAACCATCTCTTCTCTAGGGTCTTTTCCCTTTTGTACTTCGGCTTTCAGGCGACGCTTCGTTGGAAGATGTTAGGTTTATTTGGCATAAAAACATTTGTGTTTTTCACACAAACCTTAGGCCAGGGGTCCTCAAACTACAGCCCGGGGGCCACATGCGGCCCGCCGGGTGTTTTTGCCACCACTCCCTGTCTGCCTAGCCGACTCATCCAGTGTGCATAGGAATTTGTTCAGTTTTTTTTTAAACTATAGTCTGACCCTCCAACGGTCTGAGGGACAGTGAACTGGCCCCCTGTTTAAAAAGTTTGAGGACCCCTGCCTTAAGCCCTTTGTTACCCACAAATCATCAGAGTGACCTTTCTGCCAGGAGGAAAAAGCACTACAGGCAACACTAGGCAGTGGTTAGAGATGGCGCTGTGCTGTTTGCTCAGGATAAGGGCAAGTGACATGGACTTGTTCACACTTCTGGCAACTGTAGAGCAGCCAGATAAACAATATACACACCACTCCAGTAGGAAAGGGTTTCAGCACGAGCCAGGGCCCCTGTAGTTCTGGTGGCTGTAGGTGTTACTGTGGGACACACAACTTGACAGAGGTTTTCCTGAAAAGAAAGGGCTGTAGGGAGACTGGCAATTCTCATTTCTCCTGGAGTTTATGCTGTTGCAAATACAGTCTGCAGGGAGGAATGGCTTGGGTCTTGACAATAAACCTGAGTCAGTATAGCATCTCAATCCCAGGATCACGATGTAGTTTGTAGCCGCAAGCAAAGTGCGTGATCTGTATGCTTTATCCTTGTACTTTAGAGCTTTCAACAGCCTTTTGAAGACGGACAGTTTACCAAAGTTATTTCTCTAACAGTTTTTCTACTGGTAAATCCTTCCAGCAGGAGCCCTGTTCTTCCTATGATAGCTAATGCATATGACTGTTGTTTAAAAGGCACAGCTGTCCAGGAAATGAACCCGACAAGAGTTCAGTCTAACAAATGAAAGTAATTAGTTTGAACTCTTACATTATCATCTTTGTGCCTTCAAATTCTTACAAAGCAAAAACGTTTCTAGCAGGTCGCTTTCCTACCATACAAAACCTGCCACAGTGAGACATTATTTAAGTGCATATTTTAATTTTCTGTTAACATAAGAGAAGTTTAACTTAGTTTACTGCCCACGAGAAAGACTGTGTGCTGACATGCAGAATACAATTAAAAGGTTTTAAAAAAACCCATTTAGAAACAAGGATTTACATCTAGCAAAGGGAGAATACTGTTATCCCCTTGCAGACTGGAGTGCAGTTAATTATAACCAGGCCCCTTTCACTGTTCCATGCTAGATGAATTCCAGGCCTTTCCATTTGGTCCATCGTACCTCAGACTATGAAGTACCCTCCCTCTTAAGGAGTTAGAGTGGCTTCACAGTGTGTATGGGGTAAAATCTTGATCCCAAAGACAATTTACATCGATGTGTCCCTCTTATTCTTTACGGATGTATGTTATTGTTCGAACAAGTGGACCAGCAGGACCAGTGGGGGAAGTGGATGGATTATTTCTTAGCTAGGTCAGAACTATCTATGTTACCTTTCCCCCCCCCCTCTCTCTGAGGTACAGTGCAAATGTTTTAAGGCCCCGATGATCTTTAATGTTCTTATTAGGGTCTTTATAAAATTGAGGTTTTCCATTCCGTTAAATCTTTCCATTAGCCTAATACTTTGAGTTTGGTGTTTTAAATTCTCTAATTCCATGTCATCGGTATTTGCAGAAAGAGAGTGAACCACATCCGCGGCTCAGCTCAACTCCTCGTTTTTTTCCTTTATGTGCGAATGCATTGCAATAGCCGATGGCACAACTGCATTTGTAGCAGCTAAAAGCATCCCCCTATTTTCTGGTTCCCTTGCTTTGTTTACAGATTTTGGGCACTTTCACCATTCACCACCTTTAAGATTTCATAGAAATAATGCAATATAAAGTCAGATAAAGTATAAGAACTGAGTGAACTCATTGAAACTTGACCTAACATAGGAGAAATGTCTCTTGGAAAACTACAGGTGAGACATGAGGGTCATACGTGATGTTCAGAATTCCAGCCAGTGCTTAATCCCTCATATCTGTTGCCTCCAAAAACAGACCAAGAATGTTGCTCTATTAAGAATCTCCCTGTAGAAACCTTACAATTTTTTCCTAAATTCAACCTTGCTCTGAAAGTGGCAAAGAGAGAAAAATAGATGCTGGAATTGTGTTGGGATACACCCACTCACATAATTTCTGTCTTAGCTGAAGCCAGAAATGTCCACCATAGAAGAAAATAAAATAAATAATAAAGAAAACTACCTCAGTTGACAGGATTTCACCTTTCGGGTCTCTTCAATTTTTGCGTCTTACCTGTTGAGTGTGATTTTTGTAGCATCTTGCTTTTCAAAGCAAGCCAGTGAGGCATGACAGAAGTGTGTCCATGTTACTGTGATGGGCCTCTTGCTAGCATGTTGCAGTTCTAATACATTGGCAAGTGACATGAATGTAAAGGTAAACTGTGTATGCTTAAACACGACAATGAAAACCTACAATGTAGCTTCCATACTTGTGCATAATTCCAAAGTCCTTTATTTTTATCAGTGTTAAATAGCTTTTTGTACAGGCTTCAATCCATTTTTCTGACGTGTGCTGTTTTTTAATGAAATTAACTACTCTTTAACATCCATGGAACCGTTGTTTACACCACAACTTTTTTTAACTTACCTTTTCAAAATCCCTACTTGCTAAATGATACTAAACCAATGTTTGGGCTCTTATAATTTTGGTCTTGAGATTTTATAAAAATATACTCGCTTTTTAGGTTAGTCACTTCAGAGTGAATTGTATGTAAAAGTAAAGCCTATAAAGTGACCCCAAAAACTCTTTTTACAGTTCTGGAATTTTTCACTAATACATACTTTTTCCAGAATATTTTGTTCATTTCACCATTAAATTGAAAATCTTTAGCTTTTCTTGGTGAATGTGAACCATTCGAGTTTTTTTGTTTTTGTTCTTTTTGAGGGGGGGGAGGATAATTTGAATATAATTTTTACCCAAATCAACAGCCCACCCTGAATGTTAATTTTAAAATGTCAAATTTTGTTAAAAAAGAACCATTTCATTTATCTTGGAAGCAAGATTGCAATACGCATACAATTAAGTTGCTTTTTTTTTCCCAAGGGAATATTCTGGGGATGTGTTGTTATTGAAGCTCCTGTAAGACAAATTGATAGGACTTTATATTTTAGATCAGTTGAGTAGATAGCAATGTCAATGTGTGGATATTTAAAAAACTTATTCATAGATTATTTTGATCCATTTCTCTGTGGCATTTGGTGCAATAAACCCTTTTGAATTTATCTTAAACATTTGCTTTGTGTTGTTGCCTATGACTTGTTCGCCACAGTTCCCCAGAAATTCATGTGCAACAAGTGGATCACAGATGTCACACTTTCAACAGAGGTTTCCAGGAAGCGTGGACAGTGTTGACTGGCATGATGATGGGGGAGAGCTCGGGCAACATGTGAGGCAGTCCCATAGAATAGAAGGGGTTCCACATCCTGCTGGACAGTCATGTGGTTGAAAAACCTATTTATAGCCCAGAAGTTATATTTGCATAAAAATACATTGTATTTTTAGAATATGCTGAATTTTCTAAGAATGCAACTATTGCTTCAACTAAGGAAAGAGTTTACTCTGTAAGCTCCAGAATTTTAGCAAGAACTAGTGATCTTCACCTTCCCAACATGACTGCTGAAGAAAAAATGTGAAGAAAACGGATGGTGCCCGGCTATCAAAAGATATAGCGTCTGGGGACTTAAAGGCTTGAAGACAAACAAGCGGCCACCTAGCTCAGAAGCATCAAAGCCCACGTGGAAGAAGCACACCAGCCTGTTTGACCACGAGGTGTAGAAGGAACTAGTTACCAGATCAGTGGACGCCCACCTTCCTGATACGATCACCGAAGGCAAAAGTGGTGAAGAAAGCTAATGGTGCCCGGCTATCAAAAGATATAGCATCTAGGGTCTTAAAGGCTTGAAGATAAACCAGCGACCATCTAGCTGAGAAGCATCAAAACCCGCATGGAAGAAGCACACCA